AGCAGCAGCAGCACTCAGTAGTGCTGGAACTAGCCGCCTATTCACGACAACGACTCTTTTTGCAGGCCTTATCGGATGCCCAAAACCTCTTCAGGAAGGTGTATCTGAGCGCCGCCGAAGCCCTTTACAAAGGTGTATCGGGTGCTCCCATAACGAGGGAGGTGTATCTCAGCATCCAAAGCCGTGTGATAAGGTGTATCGGATGCCCCCCAAAATCCCTTCAGAGGCAGCAGAAAAGACTTTAGGAAGGTGTATCGGAGGCTTAGGAAGTTGTATTTGAGCCCCTAAACCCTTTTAACAAGGGGTATCGGAGCAGCCAACAACTCTCTTAGCAAATGTATCGGTATCACTCTTCAAAGGCTTGCGTTCACTCGGGGGAAGGGCGCGGGACAGGCCCAAAGGCGTGTATTTAACGACTTGGGATGGCTAGCGTTCAGAGGGGGGAAGCAAAAAGTTTGATGATGTTTGGGGGGTCGATTGTTTTTTGTTGGCCTCAGCGTTCAAGGGTGTTTACCGCTTCCGGTCGTGACTTCTTCGCCTTCGCTTGAACCGGGGCGTTCGAGGGTGTCTAGCAGCTTTCGGAAGGATCGGTTCGGCCTTTCACCGCTGCCTGTAAAGCTTCAGGGTTCCGTGAATGTTTTGATTCATGCGGCAGTCCCTCAGATCCTTTCAGAACAGAAGCTGGCACAGTCAATTGTAGGAACCTTTGCGTGCGTGTAGCTTTGCAGTCACACGTTCCGTGATGTGCAATTTGCAATAGCTAGACTGGTTAGACTCGGTTGGTTTTCGGGCCATCTGATAAATTTAATACAAACCTGATGTGCAAGCCTTACATGCGAACCTAAAACACAGAATCCCCAGCACTCAAGTTCCGAAGCCCTTGTGGATGCTTTCTTGCTGCATTCGTCGACCGCTACACCCACATTCCGTTGTCTGATTTTGAGCCTGGAGACGTTCCTGGCTCGAGTGCGCGGCAAGTGCCATTGATATCCTTCTGTTTGGAGCGCCAGTCAGATGCTGATGAGCAAGTCCGATCTGCCGGCTCCAGAAAAGGGCGAGGCATTTTGCAAATAAGACCACTGCACTGAAGTTCAAGAGCCACAGGACACATCAAATTACATGAATATTTTCATACACTTTGATTGCAGCCCCAAAGATTATTTTCAGCAGTCTATATTTAGATTTTGAGCTTCGAAAATTGTTTCTGAATGACTTGATTTCCTGTTCATCTCTCAAACCAGTACCATGCATCCTTACATTTGCAATTCACACGGTGTCGTCGATCGAGCCGAGGAGCCATGCAAGTTCTCTCGTGGCTGATGAGGCTTTTGCTTTTCGGGGTCTGTTCAGTAGCTTCCGTAGCAACAAAGCTGACCATCTGGCACATAAGCCTTTAAGACGTCATCCTGCCCCCAAACCCTTACATAACTTTACATAACCCCCAAACGTGAAAATCAAACATTACAGCCGCCTGAAAGGTGTGCCAAGCTCTGCGGATCCTTTGCCATTGTGTTCTTTGGTGACTTAGGCTTTTGGCTATCGCTTACATGGGCACAGGCTTTATAGACGATTCTTAAGCCACGCGAGGTTGAAGTCAGTCGCCATGAACCGCATCTGCGCACGTGTCAATAGGAATTCGGACTGCGTCACACTTCCGCGCTTCCGTCACGTCACTGTTGTTTACCGACTTGCGAGTCTGGACGTGATCCAGCACAGGTCAGGTCTGTGCAATGCAGCATCATGTACTCGATAGCGGTCCCGGGCACACGGGGTTGAAGCGGCCCATGGCAGCACCTTCCATACAGTAGCTTGGTAGCCCGGCTGCTATGTTGCCTCAGCACCCTCGGATTGCCAGACAGCTGACAGCGGGTCAGTCCAAGTCCTCACCTTTTTCAAGCTTCGATAACACGCGCACAGGCACGGGGTAGCTTGAGAGAGCAACGACCCACAGATCACATCCACAATCACAGAGCTTGCAACATGTGTCCAAAGCGCGTTTGAAAGAATGCTACAAGAGAGGAGTTCCAAAAGGCGCTTTTCGGCGCCGAACTACTTCCAAGTGCACGCTGACATCTGGGCCATGGCGAAGATGCGCAGCTCGGCCATGGCGGTGGAGATCCCCATCCCGGAGCCGCCCAGTCGCACCCGCGAAAGCAACGTTGCTGTTTGGCTTAGGGTTTAGGGTTTAGGGTGGGGTCGTTTCCAGCATGTCGAAGGTATGGCCCCATTGCGATGGACTCCATGAGCCAAGAGCAGCAGCTCTGTTGCAGCCTGTGCAGACCATCTTGCCTTCGAAAGTGACACCCTAACAGTCAGAATTTCAGACCGTAAACCCTAAACCCTAAACCCTCGAGTAAGTTTCATAGCTCAGGAAAGTGTCGGCACGAGCGATGACTGCCCTGGGCGCGCACACGAGGAGTCTCGTCTCGAAGAGGAAGATTCCTCTGCGACTGCACACCGCAGGGGTGAAATGAGATGCATTCAGTCCTAGGTGGTGTGCCTCTAATATGCAGGACTCTAAACCCTAAACTTGAATGGGCCTTCCGACCATCGACGTTGTCGCTGCGAGGGAAAGAGATGTCAAGAAAGACTTGGATGGGAGATGGGTTTGCACCGTCACTCGTTCTCGTGGTTCAGGTCTTCCGGCTCTCCCGGCATACTAACTCGTCCAAAGTTCCAACGACAGTTCAGCTTTTTTGTCCCAGCTTCCCATCTCCTAATGAATTGTTGCTAACGCTTTGGACAATCTTGTCGCGTTGTAGCACGAACTCAAGAGCTACCGCTCTTTTCCAGTATTCCTCGTGTTTCCTTGATGTAAAGGCTTGCCCATCCTGAGTCATGCCAGCAGCACGGTGCAATCAGAGTCTAGAGGGGGCCTTGTCTTCTGAGCACTCGGGGGGCGTGAAGATTTCCACGTGCTCGGGCGCGTCCGAGCCAGTCCACTGTGCAGGGCTACCGGCCGAAGCCGGAACCTTTGCAAAGTTTCGACTCCCGCTTACGTCGGCGACTCTGCTCAAATTCCTAAGGCCCTGACTGGTCCCGCGCGCACACACACACACACACAAGCGCAAAACAAAAAAAAACAGCCACCTTCGCCGTCATCTTATTCCCAACCTGACCGTCCTTTCCTCAGGAATTGTCCTGGCTGGGGGTCGCCTAGGGACCTAGAAGGCTGTGGCGAGCGACCCAGAGACCCAAGTGCCTGCACCTCCATCACTGCATGCCGACTTCTGCTTCAAGCTGCTGCTGCAGCTAGAACGATACCACGAGGAATGACAACCTGAAGGGCAGCAAATGCTGGTTTGGGTATATTGGATGTGCTTTTGGGTGGTTTGCTGTTTATCGCAGCGATGCAGTCCTCCCAGGATTTTCCAGAATGTCCGCGACGTCCAGGCTCAGAACGTCCGCGAGAGGCAGAGCTTTGAAACTGCGAACTCGGCCTTGGCAATTTTTCTTCATGGCCTTGGTCTCAGGTGTTGTACGGACCAGTGGTTAGATGAGAATGAGCGCGAGTGGATGTGCTTGGAGACTTGACAGCACTCCTGAATCTGCAGTTTCCCAAAACGTCCCAAAGCTGGCTTTCGGTGCGTCATCTTGTGCGGCTGCGCTGGTTCTGCGGCCTCTTGCCTATTGCTCAGGACTCCTTGATGCGCTCGCGGCCATGGGCGACAAACAGGGATAAAGCGCAGCTCGTTCCGAAACATAAGGGCGGTCGGACACCCAGCCTCGCGTAAACTGAGCCCATCTAATCTAACTTCACCGAACCTTAGATACTTGCACGACTCTGTTCTTTGCCTCCAGTTTTGGTTTGTAACCTGGTTGGCTGAACACAAGCTGTAACCGAGCCTCAGCTAAGCTGACTGACCTGACCACCCCCAGTGAACAAGCTGGGCGTGGGCGGATGTGTTTCCGAATGTGGGCTGAAATTGGCGTGGAGTTGTCATTGGGTACTATTTTCAGTCACGCTTCACTCGCTTCTTCGCTCACTGACTCCCACACTCGCTCGACCGCTTACTGCGTACATTCAAAAAATCTATTCACTTGTCCATTCAGTCTTTCTTTCCTTCGTTCTTTCATTTTTCCTTTCATCCATTCATTAGTTCATTCAGCCGTTCATTGACGTGAGCAACACTGACTCACCATCGCTTTTGTGAGTCCTCACACCCGCCCACTCATGTTCACTGGAGGTATGCTCACTCTGACTCCCCTTGATTCGCTCTGGCTTGCTCTGACTCACTGTCTCTCCTCTCTCATCCCCTTGTTCGTTCCGGTGCTCATTCAGTCCCTGCTCTTTCTAGTACGACTATGCAGTATAATATCATCATACATCTAAAAGAAGAGGTTGACTGTGAGGTCACGTCAACAAGCAGACCAAGCAAGCTTCTGTAGCTGAGCAGCTCGTGATCCTTCCCAACCCAGTTTCCCAACAAGACGTTGTTCCCAAGCGTGAGCTCTAAAGGACAGCTCTGTGCAAGAAGGGGCGGCCAGCTGCGCCGGAACTCCTTCATTCGTATTCACCTGCCTTCCGTGTCGTGCATCGTCCGTTTAAAGACTGGCCTCAGGTTCCCTTATCCATTCCGGGAAGCTACAGACAAGATGCGAGCCTTGGAGGGTGCCTGGTCTGGAGACGACGACCCCTTCCCACGCGAGTGGACGCGCGGCGTGGCTGGAGACAAGGCCCAGTTACCGCTGCCTGTTCGAGAAGAAGTTGCAGACACATGTGTGTATATGCTGCAGGCTTTTCATCGACATATTATGTGCATTTTATGTTTTACAACATTATCATTATCATTAGTGTTATCATTATCATTGTCAGTATCATTATCATTATCGTTATCGTGATCATTATCATTATCATTATATTTATTATCATCACTACTACTATTATATTGCTATCATTTTATATTTATGTGTATATATATATATAAATATATAGAGTGATGTTTACACGTACATATACATACATACATACATACATACATACATACATACGTACATACGTACATGCAAACTTACATGTTTATTTCACTACATGATGCTGTCTTGTGGTTTTGGGCTCCGAGGGATGCGGTCAGAACCCAGATGCAGACTTGCAGGTCCTGACCAACGTTCGTCAGGTCAAGGAGTATCCGCCCGAGCCGCTCGATGTTACTTTAATGTGTGTTTTTTTGCCCGGCTCAGGTTTAGTGGAGAAACGTAGGTCGACTTGCTCTGTAAGCCGCTGCTCGTAGTGCGAGCACTTCAACACTGAACTTGTGTTCAAGCCGAGTGCATAACACGGGGTTTGCTTTCCGTGCTCGGTCAATTTCAGGTTTATCTCTGCAGGATTCGATTCGGCATGTTCGAACAAGCATTTACAGCCTAGCCTACCTTGTCTGCCCTGCAGGTCCCTGAAACGGATTGCGGATCATTGAACTTGTGCAGTCCCGGGAGGTTGCGCTTCATCTTGTTCACGCCCGAGTTTGGAAGCGTGAATTCTTTCGCGGCATCATCCTGGCAGCAGCTGGCTTCAAGCCACGACGCGGACCAGATCCAGGGGCAGAGCAGGGGACGATTTGTAGGGGAAAGGCACTGTATTATTGGTTCTCTGTCCTCAGTTGCTATCAGACCCGCGATGCTTGCAGCAAGGGTGCTTCTTCTTATGGTTTCATGGTTGGGTGTAGAGTGTAGGGCCGTGGGCGCTCCGGTTTGGGGTTCTTGGGCATCCCGGCGAGGACTTCTGGATCGTCAGCTGGCAGGGATGGGAGAACTGGAGACTTGGATTCACCTCGGATCTCGTTGGTGCTGGGAATCTTTCTGGAGGTGCAGGAAGGCTGCACTGCGGTAAGCGGCGGGGCATGGTTTGGGTTTAGGGTCTGTTGGGGTTTTCGGATCTGTTGCCGGAGTTCTGCGGGGACTTTCAACTTTCGGAAGCTGAAGGATCAGCGTGTGTAGGTCTTCCTGCTGAAAAAATTCACAGAGTACCGTGCATCCTAGGACGGAGATGATCGAGCAAGTTACTCGCAAAGTATTGTCTTTTGCAGATGGAGTTAGCAGCTTTTCTGCAGACTTAGGGGCAAGCGATACTTTCATGCCGGGTGCAGTGTTGTTTTAGGGCCTTCCTTGACTTTCTCAGCCAAGGTACCGTTTGGTATGGGCACTCCATGGGTGCCATTGTGGCGTACGAAGTGCTTAAACGATTCGACCAGCGATATCGGTCGTACCTCGAATTGAGCCTGGCAAGAAACAGCAGTAGACCAGCAATCTCAGGGGGGTCGCTTCAGGCCGAATCTGCCAGTGGCGTTGATCGTCAGCGGCTGCCCAGCAGATGCCCCGGATGCAATCGGTACGTTTAGGAAGCGTTGCAGCAGGGTCGTGGCAGTTCAACCCTGTGCCAGACCGTCGGCAATTGATCTTTGTACATGTAGCCAGTTCTCTTAACTGGGGCTTGATTTGCTGCGAGCCAGGGCTAGGCCTTGCATCGCAGGCCCCGCATCTCTTTTCGGACTCCTACCGGCTGGAAGCTCGGGTGCCACGTACGCCGCAGCACCGGCAGGCTCTTGCAGAGACTAGGAGCCTGGCTTTTTGCGAGAAGGCCGCAGAAGCCGTGACAAGCGAGAGTTCTTGCAAACCCAAGGCCACAAGAGATGCACGACTTCCTTTTGAAGCTCCGTGCTCATGCCTGGTTGTCACACTTGCGGTGCCATTGCTTGCAGTGCATGTGCATGTGTGTGTGTGTGCGCGTGTGTGTGTGTGTGTGGGGAGTGTGTGCAGTGTAATGGAAGCCAGGCATACCGAACGACTTCGACATATTGACGCAGGAGAAGCTCGAGCCCGAACGCCGTGCAGCGTCCACGATAGCTTCCGTTGTGTTCGGTCATCGCATCGCGCAGAACGTCGTAAAACTCTGGACAGTGCATCTGCTTGAGGCGAGACATCCTGCTCAAAGAGTGCGCACCTTAGTGCCTCAGTGGGGCTGTGTCCCAGTGCCGGGCCTTGATTCCTGTCTTTCATGCCGCTGCGGAGAGAGCAACTTCCATTTTTTGGCATCACCGCAACGTCGTTTTGATACGACTCCTCTGCAGCAAGAGTGTCTGCAGTCGTGCTGGCCCTGTGTGCTTTCATCCTGCAGCTTTGCGCACTTGCGACGCATGGGTTTGGTGTTTCGACGTGGACTCCTCTGATTCTTCGACCTCTCGCTCTGCCCCCTCCCCTGAAGCCCTCGAGAGGAGAGCTCCGAGGTTTCAGGTGCGGCTCGACAATCGGCAAGATGCCCTGCAGGCCGAGGGCTCACAATCTCATCCGGCTCACGACTCACGCCCGGCTCACGCAGGATGTGACTTCACAAGCTGGCAACACCTCCGAGCCGACAGATGCACGAAGCTCAGTGTCGAGCCTGTTGAGTCCTGATGTTCTCTGGGTTCTAGCAGTCTAGCAGTCTAGCATCCCCACTGCGGAAGCCCATGCAACTGGCCCCTCGAAGGGCATTGCGACGGGGCAGCTGGAGCATTCCCCCAAGTCAAGGCATCTTTAGACCATCTCATGCCAGAGGGCTTTCGCGATGGCTCCAAGGATTGTTTTTTGTTTTCAGGAAGGCAGGAGCATTGAAGCCTAAGCAGTGCCTGAGGATGGGGTCTTGAAGCTGCGTTTTTGCCAAGATGCGGTATGTTGCTTTTTCTTCTCTTGACCAGCTCCAGTTATGTTGCTCCGGTTTCACTACGTGTAAGAATGTGCGCTGGAACGGTCTGTCCCTGCAAATCAGTGTGGCACGGGCCCCGGCAACCCCTAGCCAGGCATCAACCTATCCTTCAGAGCCCCTCTGTCGAGCCAAGCTCTGCGAGAAAACCGAGGTTCGAAGCGAAGCGGAGTATCGCAAGGCCTGTTAGGGGGCCTTTTCCGGCTTCTGATGGGGGGCTCGAAGGATGCAATTCACACCTCTGCAGAGACGGTGGGTTGAGGAACGTCTGTGAGCTGCCGTCAGCCAGGCCATCGTCACCGACTTGAAGGTGTTGATGTCTTATGCCTTCGAGCATGCAGTGGCCTGAGGAAATTTCGGAAAGAAGGATGAAGGTTGCTCGCAGCAAAGCCTAAAAGCAACAAACCCAAGACCTCAAACCCTGAGCCCTCAAACCCTCGCCCGCATCGTCCGCAGTGCTTGCAGAGACCCCTAAACCTCACTCCTCTCTCGCTACCTTTGCTGCCCAGGGCGAGGCCAAGGCTGTAAGTGTCCCGGCTCGGGGCCCCGGGCCCGCAAGGCATTCGGTCTAGGACGTCTCCTGTTTACGTGATTTAAGCGGTCCGTGGTAATTAAGGGGTGCTCAGGAGAGGGGTTCTGTAAAGGGGGTTGTGGGGCTTTTGAAGTAGTTGCCAGCAAGTCAGTCGGTTTGGTTTCGGAAATCTAGGGATGATTCTAATGCCGCAGTGGAGGCATGTGTATGTGGCAGTCAACTCGAAGAAGGGGAAGCCTCACCAAGACGTTTTGGGCAGTCGGCTGATTCAAGCCCTTCCATGTGTATTGTCATGGCCAAACCTGAGTCAAGGCAAGAACAAGTCGTACACAACCCAGCATTTTGTCAAGGTGGCAGAGTTCTCCCAAGGTCTCCATTTTCCTCTGGCACGGCCAAAGCGACTTCGCTGAACATCTGAGGTCATAGCCATGGCCCACGACGAGGATAGCCTCGTGGAGCCGCAGATGGTGCAGGCCCGGGATGGACACGAGGCATGCAGGTAAAGCCACGCGGGCCTGAAGGTGTCAGAGAAACATGCTTTGGAGGGTACTCACAGCCTCACAGCGCCAGGGAGGATGCTTTGTGCTCTGCGTCCGAAGCCTCTGAATGCCAGGCCTGGGAAGCTTACGCCCCGGCGCCCGACAGCTTTGAGTTTCTAGAGCTGGAGGACTGCATCAAGAACACCAGAGAAGCTTGCGAATACTGGCAGTCGAGCCGGTCTTGCGCCCGCGCGGCTTTTCAACTGCTTTTTCACATGCTGCAGCCAGAGAACTCCTTCAAGACAGATAGGAAGTCGAGGTCTCCTGATACCTAATTCTGGCATAGCCCAATCCTCACAGACTCTTTATAGACATCAGTTCTGCACCGTGGAGTGTACTGACTGAACTGCCCCACAAAATCTATGCCTTAGCTGCGGATGAGGGAGCGTCTGCAGGATGTAGCCGATGGCGAAGTGCTGGCGGAGCAAGGGCATGGTTATGCCATGCGCCGGCTACCCGGATTCTGTGGATGGAAGCGGATGCAGACAATACTAACAATCATGATCATCGCCGTGATCATAATCACGGTAGTTGGACCAGCAAACGTAAGAAAATCTAACGGAACAGCGCATGAAAGTCGCTATGCCCGGGCCCAGACAGATGCCGTGGACCTCCACGGGAGCCAAAACCAGTTTCCGGGATTTAATAATACCTCGAAGGCGCTGCTTTCGTAGCCCCTGGAGGCGCTATGCCCGGGCCCAGTGTAATCAGGCTGCAAAGTGAGGGTTGAGAACAC